AGTGGGTTGAATGAGTTTTTCCAAATTGTCAGGGCCTTTTTCGGAAATAACGTTTACGATATCAAATACTTGCTGCGATTCTGTCAGAGTTTGTACGGCGGATTGGACCGGGTGGCCCGGGCTTTGGACGTGGACCGGGTTGTTGGAAAGTGTCATCAGGCCGGGTCAGATAGCTTGCTGACGTGGCATGCATTTCAGAAAATGAGGGATATTTATTTTGTGGATCATGGACATGAAAAATATGCTGGAATATTGTATGGACTAGAAGTGTATTAGTAATGACTAATTAGGATTATAATTAATTGTTGATAATCAATTATTAGTTGATATAATAAATTCGATTAATTCTTTTGGGAAATGTCTTGGGTTTTTCTTTAGGGATTTGTCACTCAAATAGCGCCATTGACAGGTTGAGGTGTTGGCAACACTTTGACCCTTGATCATGTATGCGCGGCCCCATGACGCTCAAGATCAAGGGCCGAGGTGGTAGAGCCGCTTTCTTTATTAATCTTTATTGGGAAATCATGAAGTGAACCTATCACAATATAAAGGAATTATATATTTGGGTTTGATCCTGCACAAGGCATAACAATAGGACATATTACTGTATACCAAAAAGGGAACTTAACCTGCATCTAATTTTGAAGGATGTTATAGACAACAGCATATCTAAATGAAATGACAAGATGCCACAACAAATTTGATGATATGCAGGGAGTAAATCTTGACAGAAACATTATTGCCATTACAGGAATTACCTAAGCAAATATTATACAATGATCCACTTCTCTCGACTCTGGTGCCTCGTCGATTTTTTAAGGATCAAGGTTTAACTCCAAGGCGACTTCGAGGTAATTTTAAAGTAGATAGCATAGCACGAGAAATGATTTAGGCACTCCTTGTACAGCCTTCCAGCATCTTCCTCTTTTACAACGACCATGAGTATCTTCATCGAGGATCACCACCAAATCCACTTGAACCCCCCGCTGTCTTAGCTATAGAAGGTGTTTCAGTTGGTTCAAGCTGTGGATTTTGGGCTGGTGGTACGCTAACATTAGGCAAGGCATAGTCTTCAAGAACTGTGCTCAAGCTTTCCCAGTTAACCCCAGCTATAGTCGAGAGTCATGGAATGTTGTATCACACATCTTACGAAAAATTCAGGAGAGTTCCATAAAAGAGACAAGAATTAGGATACGATCTGTCCTCCACATGTCAGTAATACTTATATCAGCATCTGATAGTAACCAATAATCAGGATCGTTCTGTAAATGTCAAAAGCAAGCATATTTAGTAATTGAGCAACTTGTATATGGAAAAATGCATTCCT